AAGAAGAAGAAGAACAAAAACAGCGATGAGAAGGAAGAGACTGAGATCGCACCCAAGAAGAAGAAGAAAAACTGCGATGAGAAGGAAGAGACAAAGAAGACCGCCACTTCCAGAACCCAGAAGCCAAAAGATCCCAGCCCAAAGCAAGAACATCCTGAAGACCCTGGACACCTTGAGGGCGAGGAGCCGACGTCTGCAAAAGAGAAGTGCGCCGTTCAGGCCAAGAAGGCACCAAAGGCAAAGGCAAAGGCAGCGGCTTCAAAGCCACAGGTTTTGAAGGTTGCCAAGGCTAAGGTTTCAAAGGCATCAGGCGCTAAGGCTTCCCAGACTTGCAAGCCCAAAGCGAAGAAATCCGACAACAAGGTCAATACCAACCCATGTCAATCGATTGACATGTCACTTTTTGGTTTCTGTAGATCTTCTTTGATATTTTGTTTGCATCTCTAGCTGGTACATGTGTGCGTGTGCGTCAACTGGGCCCCTTGCCAAAAGGAGGAGCCTGAAGAGGCACCGGAGCGTGAAGCTGCACCAGAGCGTGAAGAGGCCTGGTCTGGCCAAGCAACAAACGCAACGTGATGAGCATATAGAAACAAATCGATAATCGAAACATCACATGTCGACAAAGCATTTCAAGAATTTCCAATGGTTTAGTGATCTTTATTTTTTTAGCCTGATCCAGGAGATCTCTCGCAGGATACCCTTTGTTTGCCTTTTACTGGCTCGGATGAAGAATGCCCAGGCCTTGCTGGGGGATCCAGTGCTGTGAAATCTGAGAATGGCACTGCTGCTGATGATGGCGATGATGGTCATGAACCTATCAGCGACAAGCCCGCTGAGTCAGCAAAGACCAACAAGAGTGAGAAGCGCGATGTGTCTTTCCACTTCGTGTATTGGGCTGTGGTGCACGAGAATCAGAAACGTCTCAATCAAGGAGGAGTTCCCCAACAAGACTGGGAGGGAAACTCTCGCAATGGCTAAGAAGGAGTGCTTTGTCTCAAAAGGAATTGAATCGTCATGCTCATTGGTAATTTTTAACACTTTTTTCACAAACGGTTGGGATATGTCCTATGCCATATGTGGTTCGTCTTTCGATGCCAAGGTGGGAGAATCATCCAGAGCGCCTGAATGCAATGAGCCATATGTCAAAGTCTGAGCTAAGCCGTCGGCGCTTAACCAAGAAGCAATCCACGGCACGAGCTGCTGGCCTGACAAGTGTCAGGACAATATTTTGCTGAGACTGTCATCATTCATGTCAGCCTGTCTCATCTTAGCTTCAGGGCTATGATGCTGAGCCTTAGTTCACATCGCATTTGATTGCCGCGCGTGGCCAGCGGACATCAATCGGGGAAAAATGCCTGCCACACTGGAGTGCAATACCAAATACTTTATGTTTTTCGTGGGGTGGCACACCGTTTGCGTCATCGGCTTTCATGTGAGCCAGTTGCTCAACCTTCAGTTGCAAACACTCAACCTTCAGTTCAACCTTGAAAGATTCATTTCTATGTGCTGCAGGCAATGTTTGGGCATACCCATGCCAGTTTCGCCTCACCAACGATCTTGCCAAAGTGGTTTTGAGATTGCGCCGAAAAGCGTCCAGTGACAGCGAGATAACTACCTTACGTGGGTTGCTCCATGAAATGGATGAAGGCTTCGTTGACACCAAGGTGAAAGAGCACTCACTTGAGCGGCCTGGAGCCACCGATGAAGGCGAGCCATCGCCAGCCATCGCATTGGAGACAAGTTGACAAGTCTCATGATCATGGATACTTGCCTGTCCTATGTCCTAGACAAGTTTAGCCTACATGAGCAGTTTGCAGTTTGATTGCTTTGATTGGAGGTGATGATGGAGCTGACGTATTCATCGTGAAGCCCAATGGCTCTGCTTCTTCGATCTTTAGCTACACCCCGTCCACCTCTGGATTGAAGTTCAGCACAGCAGCCTCAGCGTTACCTCTGGATGCACAAGACTTAGGCTTGTACTGATTTATGCAATGACATGGGGACATGGTCAAATGATGTGGTTATCTAAGCTTACAGGATGTGGTGCATCAATGAACCTGCTGGTCAAATGCTGTGGTTATCTAAGCTTACAGGATGTGGTGAGTCAATGAACCTGGTGTTTCAGCTTAGGTGCTTGATGCCAGCATTACGCTCACCAAAGCATGGCGTGTCGCTTACATGTGGGTTTGTTGTCCTTGTGGGTTTTGCCTATGCTCCAACAAGTCTTCCACCCAGCGACAACTTCTGCAGAACTCATCAAAATACACTGAAGACAACATAAAACTGTTGCTAATTAGTTAGTTGAATATACACATGACGCTGCAGTGATTATCCCAGCGCTGTTCCCACACCGACCTGTGCTCGTGTTGAGCTTACCACTGTTGAGCGTAGCTAAGCTATGCTCAATTCATACAACCCAGCCCCCACTACTGAGCTGGCTGATACCATGTCTTGAAATGTTTCGGCTGTCTAGTTGAAACTTTACATCATTTCTGATGTGGCTGCTAGTTCTGCCCAAGAAAGGCACCTAACAAGGTCCTGAGCAAGGCTCTAGTTCTTCAATTTGCAGCGAGCTGCACACGCCTTCCCTGACAGGAGCTATGGCCTCGTCTCTTGGATTTCAACAATATGTCAGTTGAAAAATGATGGAAGCAAGTGAGCCCAGTGCACTTGTTCATGTAAGTTGCGCCTTCCAAGGGAAACCGCTCTATTTCATGAAGAAGCCTGTGAGTTTGAAGGCCAATGAGGTGATCCGTTTGGTCTATTGGCTTTAGGGACACTCCAGAGAGAGAGTGTTGTTTTGAAAGCAATTCCATATGGGGGTTGCAAGCTGTGGAACTGGAACTCCAGAAAAGAGAGCTGAGCTACAGAGCGCCTCAAAAGTTAACAGCTTGATGTGGCAGCACTGCAGCCCCTTGATCTAGGCTATACACAATACGTGCGAAGGCAATGGGAAAAAGAATTGATCTTGTTGAGCGCTTGGAGGTGGATGGAAACGAGATGATACACACTTGTTCTACATGTAGCTATAATGAAACAAACCTCGAGTAAAATGAAAACTACTTATATGGCCTTCCAGAACCACTCACCAACCCAGCTTGAACGCCGCTGCGATATCGGACGAAATTAATCCAAATCTGCCCTTGTCCGGCCCCTCGCGACCCGACCGTGCCGAAACGCGTCCAGCTCCGTTCTTTTTCGACTGACACACGGCCAGACGTTGATGGTACTCTCGGTGGTTGTCTCAAAGGCGGACCTGAGCCAAAGGCGGACCTGAGCACCACAGGGGTTGGGTGCAATACGGTGCAATTAAAAGTGTCAAAGACTGCAGGTGTCCACTCTTTTCTTTCAAGTAATGCCTATCGGTGGTGGTTGCAGGCCCAGCGGCTCAACGACGGCCTTTTCCTTTGCCTTTTCCTTTCTTGTCAGCCCAATCCGCAAACTTGCCGAGGTTCCTGAGATGGCCAGGCTCAAGGAGCGGCCTGTTTCATTTGATTGCAACCCGCACCTATGGCACAGCACGCAACCTCTGTCCCACAGCATCCAAATCCTACACATCTGCTCTCACCAAGGCTCGTGGTCGTTGTACTCATGGCCAGTTTGCAGGCAAGGACTGCTGGCACCTCTTCCTTTTTCCAGACTAGACATCTTGCCTTCACTTGGAGAGGGTCGCGCCTGTCATCCAGGTACTTTTGGAACTCTTTCCTTGGCAAGATCTGAAAACGGCGGGCAAACAGGTGAGACTTGTTGTTGTTGTGGTGGGTTGTTGTTGTGGTTGCTGTGATTGTTGGTGTTGTTGTGGTTGTTGTTATTGCTTTGGTCGTTGTTGATCTTGTTGCGGTTGTGCTCGTTTTTGGTGTTGTTGCTGTGGGCGTTGTAGCTGTAGCTGCGGCGGTGGCAGTAGTAGAAGCAGCAGCAGCAGAAGAAGGAGGAGTAGTAGTAGTCGTCGTCGCTGCTTCTGTTGTAGTTGTTGTGGTTGTTGGTTGTACCAAGCATGGCACCAAAAAATAACATGCAAATAATGCGAGGCAACACGCGCGGCTTAACTTGCACCGTGGGAACATCTGAAGCCATCTCGAGGGAAGGGGGTGCCCTTGCGAGCATCATGTTTTGCAAGAAGCACTAAAGGCCCTGTGTTTTTCTACGATTGTTTTTGCACGTGTGTTTGGGAGGTTTTCTGCCAGTATCACCAGGAAATCGAGAGTGCCTTCGTTGGTGGCCTCGTTCCTGCTGCCGAAAAAAATTAGCCCTTGAAGCCACAGCGTTCCCAGTTCCCAAACCAACTAAAGAAGCAGTGAAAACAGCAGTAATCAAGTTGAGCTAAACCAATCTCTTTGGAGCACCGGGACACACAAGTTCTGCCCAGCGACAGGGCTTTGAGCCGTCGATTCCCAAAGACCGCCCAATACTCCAGCTTGGTGAACTGGATCACCACGAAGGGAGTAAGATCCTGGCAGATCTAGAGAAAGACGGCGGGCTCTTTGCCTGCATGGGATGGCCCACCCTTGAAGGAGTTCTCGCCATAAATCATGGACTGTTCTTCTAAGTGCGTGTGGATATTAACCTGCTCAACGGGAAGTATGAGTAGACTATCCTCTCCCTCGTAGACAGCGATGGCGCGCCCTTGTTTTGGTATGCTATCGCCCCACTGCTATTGACACCCCCCATGTGACCGATGCTATCAGCAATGGTCACACGTGAAATTCAAATGTAGTGGACTATGTACAGTGGTTCGTATATCCTTGCCGCGAGACCTATCGAAATAGACTCTAACTACACCTCACTATTAAAACTAAGCGGTCTTGTACATATATGTATATATATACAGCGCGCGCCTCGTTAATTTGTGAAAACCGACAGTGAAGGTTTGCCTTGCTCAGATTCCACTCAGTATTTCTTCACCACGATGTAGATAGAGCTTTGCACCCTTTCAACTGTAGAAAGTTCACACGCAGATACGCTTACGACATTTAAAGTCAAGCGTCGTGCACTGACCTTGTTCACCAAAGGTTCACGTACGAGTGCGTTGACCTCTTCTTGTCAGGTATCATTCTCTTCTCCTTCATGGTCCTGTTCACCATGATCGTATTCTTCTTCTTCTTCTTCTTCTTCTTCTTCTTCTTCTTCTTCTTCTTCTTCTTCTTCTTCTTCTTCTTGGTCCCATTCTCGCCAGCTTCTTTGTGTTGCTCTGATACGTGGCACTCGGAACGTGCATCATAACTGTTCATGTTCATATGTCATAGCTGCTGGCTTTCAGTCACGAGTATATCTATTGGTTTGTTCCCACGTTCGTCGACCGGCGTGACCATAGATCTTCCCTTTTCCTTTTCCTTTTCCTTTCCGTCGATGTTCTTGTTGATGTGCTTGAGCACGATGACTTGATGAAGCTGCTCCAGGTGGTGGTCTTTCGATCTCAGGTGCAACACTGGGCTGAATGGGCTTCCATTTGCTGTCAATAACACGCTTTCCCCACTCTTGGTTTTTGTCCACCAATTTCTGGGTCTGTTCTTTGTCTAACACGCTGCGTCAACGCTCAAATGCTCTCTGATCTTGACGTCGCGCCATTTCCTCCAACATCTTCTGCGCTGCTGGTAGTAGGGTGATCTTCGCCTGGTCCATCACTAGTAGCATCACGTTGTCCCATTTGTTTTGCGGTCTGGAGTACATGACATCTAAAGGATTGATGCACTTGCGCGTGTTGTTGTCACTCAAGTCATCACGGAAGTAAAAATATGATGCGACACTGTAGATTGCATTCATGCACTTCCTGATCATCTTTGACACGGCATCTTGCTTTGACCTTTTGCTAGGCTCTACCATTGATCGGGTAGTACCTGGTGGTGGTTTGTCTGTTTCACTGAACTCCTTCTTGAAGGTCTCAGGTGCATATCCAAAAGCAATCGCCTGTAACGCAAACTTTCCAATCATTTGCTCTCCTCGTAGCATATGCCAAGCTTCTTCCGTGGTAACGTCCTTCCACACTGCAAAGTCTTCCATTTGTTTCTCAGTTGGGTCATTGGGCATGTCGTCATCATCGAACCCATTGTCTACCCCGTTGGTGAAGTCAGACATGACATCCAACCTTTTCTTTGCGAAGTATCTGCGGAATTTGGCAATACCAGTCTGATGATACGAAGTATACATCGGCTTGATCACCTGGGCCGTGCATCGAATAAGATATCTGCCCATGAGTCCTGATGATCCAGTGATTGTGTCTTGACATCCTGCTTCGTCTTGAGAGTCAAAAGGTACTGGCTCTGGATATCTGCACCATTTTGGGAGTTCGTGGTTGGCGAGTTGTTCGTCAGGATGGCAAGATCTTGGTTCTCCATCACCCTGATCATCGTCAACTTTTCCATTATCGTGTTAGCTCTCTGGATCTTCTGTTTCAATTTCCACGACCACTCTATCTGATGTTCGGGTGAACTAAGCAGTACTGCCCTTGCCCGAGGAGGTCATCAGCCGCCATGGCATCCGGCGCGTCGACACTATAGCCCGCAGGTGCGGGGGGAGAAAAACCTAAGCCCGGGCGCTCACTCTCCTCCGCAGCAGTAGATGGATCAGCAGCCGCTGGTAGTTGAGGTTCCGCAGCCATGGGCCAAGCCACCGGGGGTTCAGCCATCGCTTCCATGAGAGTGGGCGCATCATCCGCCATAGGTGCGTCAGCCGCCGAAGGAGGTGGAGGCCCTCCAGCAGCTGGGCCAGAGGCGCCTGGAGCTGAGGCCCCGCTGGCCGCTGCACCAGGCATCGGAGGGTCCGTGCCCTTGTCTGCGTCCTCAAGAGCTTCGGAGTGGACCCGAAGGTCGTCCATGTGCCGGGTGAGGTCCCGGATCTGTGCCTGTATGTCCAATTCTTCCACCACGACTGGGCTTGCCAAAAGGGAGAGGCCAAAGCTGCCTCGTCCTCAGCATGTCGAAGGGCAGTGGAGGCCGCATCCGCCTCCTGATTGAGCTTCTCAATGTCTGGGCTACTAACAGTAGCCACATCAGCCATGTCGTCGGCCGCAGTGGCCGGTTGAGCTTCGGTGAATGTCTCCACCATCTCATAAGACTCTTCCATATAGGATATGCCATTGCAATCGTCAACCAAAAATAGGATCCTAGGAAAGCTCGGAGTCAAATCTCTGTCGGCAACACACACGAGGTTGCCTCCCAACTTGAGCCAAAATGTCCCCCCCGGTGGGACATTTTAGAGAATTTGTGTGAACATAAAACTTGCAACTGCAATCTCAATGCAAGTGTGAATATATGTTGTGTCGTGTCACAAGCAGAGCTTTCCACGCCCGCAATCAGCAAAAAATGTCAGTTGTCTGTGGGAAATCTCCAAAGGCACACTGGGACTTGAGAGAGGAGGGGGTGAACGAAAGGTAGCAGGCAATCACAAGTAACCCTGGTAGAAGTCCATGACGGCGCGAACCGGCGCAGGGGGGATTTGATCCAGGGAGGGGGCCCCCCCCCCCGACGAACAGAATCAACTCTTACAGGACCAAATTCAATGCACAATCCCAACTCCTGATTGTAATACATGTTTGCTAAAGCAAGGAGAACTCAGGTAGCTCAAGCTACCTTTCGTGACTTGTATGTGAACACATGTGAACTGGCTGTCCTGTGGGTGGGCTTTCTCATTGATGAGGTCCTCGATCAAGTCCAGCACTGAACTGTTGGCATGCTCACCATGTGCAAAGTAGCGATTGACCTCATTGTGCGAATGTCTGATGTACCTCAGGTGTGAATTGAACAGCTTGTCGATCTTCTCATGCACAACACGGGACAAAGGAAAACAAATTGCAGGCTGAAGCACACCTCCTTTTAAGCCGAGTCGCTGCACTTCAACAAGCGCCCGCTTTGAGGAGTAGTCCTTCCACGCCTCAGCGGTGCCGTGAGCACCACAAATGCATACATGACACTGCTGAGTTGCCTAGGCTAGGCGTTTTGCAGGGTCATAATTTGTTGGAAGGGTGGCTTCGCGAGGCTTCTTCGTGCAACACCAACCTTTCGTACACTCTCTAGGTTAGCCTTCGCAAGTTGGCTTCGTCTGTGTGAAATCCAAGGGCCTACGCCAGAGGCCTCGCGAGCCTTCGCCGCACATAATGTATCATCACACAAATGCCTTCGCAAACATTTGGTGAGTTACAGCCTAGTCTAATCTAAATTATATATATCATTCAATTAAAAATGCTACTCAAGTGAAGAAACATGAAGAAACCATGGCCACGAATCATCCATTGCCCAGTAGCCTCCCGTGCCCCTTCCTTGCCCGATTGCCTCCCTGTTCTCCGCCGGATCATAGAGCGCATGCCGCTTGCCATGGAGGAAAGGACGAAGGGCATCTCTCAAATCCTGAGGGTACAAATCTCTCAATGTGCCATCTGATGATGTCAAGAGTTCAAGAAGGCCTGCGGCACCTACGCTTACGCCCTGCGTGTGTATGACACCTGCAAGAAGGTCAAGTTTGACCTGGTCATTGGTCCAGCCTGGCTGTCCAGCGCCATCTTGCATGCAAGGGGTGCTGGTACAGTGTCCCAATCGTAGACAGAAGCGCGGACATTTCCACCTTCGGCCTCGGCACGACCGTTCGACCGTTGCCCTAGTAGCGTCCGATCGCTCCTAGTAGCGATGCCAGGAGCTCCTAGTAGCTTCTTGTTCCTAATAGCTTCTTGACCGTTGAGCAAAATTCCATGATGTGGCTGGGGTCGGGGGACCTGGGCTTGTGCGAGCCAAGGATTGACCCATACCATACGACTGAACAGTTTTGGAGGCAAGCACATCACTCACATGACTCAAGCACGCCTGCGACAGAGATCCATAGACCAAGGTGTAGTTGTTGAAGTCCCATCGGATGAGGACAGGAGTTCCAGCGCGTGGGTCTTCTTGAACTTGTTTGATCTGCCTCACCGGAACCTGAAAGGCGCCAGGAGGCCGAAAAACATTGTGTGTGGGATTGTATCTGCTCCGTGGAGCAATAGTTCCATTTCCGTGGCTCCAGTCCAAGCCCGACGCTAGTTTCAAGAATACTCAGCTTGCAGTCCAGATCTACTAATTTAACTTCAATAAGCTTTCACATCCCAACCCCTCCCCCAGCCTAAAAAATTAACCGTTGAAATTTAACCACAAAAGTTATCCACTAACTCAGTGGTGGGGTTGGCCAACACTGACAACAGCATCCTTGCAGCTTGTCAGTCCAAAGCCCTTATGCCAAGTCACCAATTCGTGTCGCCCCTCCCTTTGGTAGTGTGCAAAGTCTGGCTCTCCCAGGATTCTTTCAAGCAGTATCCTCCGTGCCGAGAAGGCGTCTGCTCGGCGTCCGTCCCGTCTCCTCGGCGCCTCGGGTCTCTCGTCTCCTGTCGCGCGGGTCCACGCGTCGCGTGGTTCGGGCGGCGTCGGACGGCCCCGGGGGAGTTCGAGCTCCCGGAGCTTCGTGAGCGCAACCCCCGAAGGGTTGTATGCATGGTCCAAGCGAATGGTTCGTAGCAGTTGCTCCTGCACTTCAGGAGCCGCCTGGCGGAGAACCTGCGTTGCCTTTTCATTGATCTCATGGTCGATGAGAAACTGTTCCAGGGCCGGGTTGGATCGCTCCGGAACCCTGCGGCTGGGTGGGGCGCGAGTGCGACTCCGCCGTCGAGCTGTTTGAAGCCTCCTCCCCCCTCGTTGTCGGACTTTTTGCGAAGGAGTCCGCGAAGGCGACCGAGCAGGAGATCGTGCGGGCGGCCGGGCAGGAGATCGCGAAGGCGACCGAGGCTTGAATGGGCGATGGCGATCTTTGAGAGCAGATCCCAGGGCGATGGGTGGTGTTTTGGGCGGCGGATCTTGAGGCGGATCCATGGAAGGCTTGAGGAGGAGACCTCGCTCCATGCCTGGCAAGCCACCCATGCACCAATAGTAGTGTTCTGACACCTTCTCAGGATGATTCCAATCCGTTTTGCCTGGATCAGGAAAGCCACATTCGTCATGCGGCTTTGTCGTGACTTTCCAACCTGGATCCACAACTAAGTCTCTGTAGGCCTTTCGATTGAAATGCATGTAGTCCTTCTCTTCGACTCTGTCCCTCTTGCCCTGAAGCCACTCTTCAAAACGCACTGCGGCTGCCTCATCTATCACACCGACTTCTTCGGCCAAACTATCCTCCTTGGTGCTGGTGGTGGTGCATTCGGATGCTCAAAATAACACACACACATATATAATATATATATATATCTCTTAGTTCTTGGAGACAAATGAAAAGAAATGCTCCATGGCCAACGGAAAAGGGCGGACACCACCGGTGACAGACCTGGGAGACAAATGCATAGAAATGCTACATGGCCAGCGGAAAAGGGCGGACACCAGCAGTGACAGACCTGGGAGAAAAAAATGCATAGAAATGCTAAAAGGGCGGACACCACCAGTGACAGACCTGGGAGACAAATGAATAGAAACGCTACATGGACAGACCTGGGAGACAAATCAACAGAAATGCTACATGGCCAGCGGAAAAGGGCGGACACCAGCAGTGACAGACCTGGGAAACAAATAAATAGAAATGCCACATGGCCAACGGAAAAGGGCGGACACCAGCAGCGACAGACCTGGGAGACAAATAGAAACGCTACATGGACAGACCTGGGAGACAAATAAATAGAAATGCTACATGGCCAGCGGAAAACGGGAGACAACAGCAGTGACAGACCTGGGAGACAAATGCATAGAAATGCTACATGGCCAGCGGAAAAGGGCGGACACCAGCAGTGACAGACCTGGGAGACAAATGAAAAGAAATGCTACATGGCCAGCGGAAAAAGGCGGACACCACCAGTGACAGACCTGGGAGACAAATGAATAGAAATGCTACATGGCCAACCGACAAAGGCGGACACCAGCAGTGACAGACCTGGGAGACAAATGAATAGAAATGCTACATGGCACAAGCAGCGACAGACCTGGGAGACAAATGAATAGAAATTCTACATGGCCAGCGATAAAGGGCGGACACCACCAGCGACAGACCTGGGAGACAAATGAATAGAAACGCTTCATGGACAGACTTGGGAGACAAATGAATAGAAATGCTCCATAGTTAACGGAAAAGGGCGGACACCAGCAGTGACAGACCTGGGAGACAAATAAATAGAAATGCCACATGGCCAACGGAAAAGGGCGGACACCAGTTGCACACCTGGGAGACGAATGAATAGGCTTGCTACATGGCCAGCGGAAAAGGGCGGAGACCACCAGTGACAGACCTGGGAGACAAATGAATAGAAATGTTACAGTGACAGACCTGGGAGACAAATGAATAGAAATGCTACATGGCCAGCGGAAAAGGGCTGACACCAACAGTGACAGACCTGGGAGACAAATGAATAGAAATGCTGCATGGCCGGCCAGCGGAAAAGGGCGGACACCAGCAGCGAGAGACCTGGGAGACAAATGCATAGAAATGCTACATGGCCGATGAATAGAAGTGCTACATGGCCAGCGGAAAAGGGCAGACACCACAGCAGCGACAGACCTGGGAGACAAACGAATAGAATTTCTACATGGCCAGCGGAAAAGGGCGGACACCAACAGTGACAGACCTGGGAGACAAATGAATAGAAATGCTACATGCGCCAACGGAAAAGGGCGGAC